GATCATTTGATTATTTTAGCCAAGTAAGAATGATTGGAGAACGTGGATCTGGAGCAGGTAAAGGAGGTGGTGGTGGTGGCTCTATTCGTGAAGCTGGAGGATCTTTTGGTAAAATGGAAGCTGCTCATGAAGATCAGTATTTTTATAATCTGGTTAGTTATTACATTTTTTTTTGGTACTAATTAAATTTTTATGATGTTTTACTTATTATTTATTATTTTTTTATATTACAAACAAATATATGATATAATAATTGAAAGGGATTTATTTAGAAATCTAATTTTTTTGATTTTAGCAAAAAGAACAGTTTAAAAAACTTAAAGAAGATCTTCATGATGAAATTTCTTTCCATGAAGAACAAATTAAACGTCATCAAGAAGCTATAAACCGCCATAAAAAAAGAATCACAGAAATGGATAAGAAATAAAATTATCCAACACTATGTATTTACTTTTCAAGCGATGTTATTCTTTGTAATGTAATGCTCTTCTAAATAATTATATTATTATTAATAGTAATTATAATAGATATTTATGTCTGTATTTTTTTTAAACTGAAAAATTATATATATTATATATATTGAATATAAAATAGACAATTTATTTTCTTCTTGTATTTATAAAATAACAAAGCTTATATATATTATATAAGTTTATATAAGCTTATATATATATATATATATTTCAAATGAAAAAGTTTCAATACAAATCGACCATCTCAATATTTTCAATTATATTTATATTCAAATGTTTCACTGTCTGTGACAGAAAGTCGCAAAATTTCTGTTCCGTTCAATTTCATGAGCGATTTGTTTTTCGTAAAATTAATGATATTAAAAATTATAAAAAACAATGTTTCGACATTGTATACGAAAATTTTCGTCCGAAGTAATGAAGATTAAGTAAGTATAATATTTAAAAATTTAATTTGCAATTTGTAGTTAAATTTAAAAAAATTTTTTTTTATGGTTATGTCATTTCTTTTAAAAATAATCCGACAATTTGTCCGGTTTGAATAGTTCTAGGTATTTAACAAGGAAGTACAGTGATTCTAATAAAAATAAAACTTCAAATGACGATATTGCATTTGAAGCTGAATATTATTACAAACAGGTAATTTTGAATAAATTATATAATCATAAACAATAAAGACATTTGATCATTTATTTCCCAGGATAAAGAATTATTAGAAATGTTAAAACAAAAAATGCAAGAAGAAGTAAAATGTATGCAAGATGAAGTTACATCGATGCAAAATAAAATTGACGAATATAATCGTACTATTAATGAAAATCTTCGATTTTTAAAAGGTCTCGAAAAAGATATTTCGGCTAGTGATAAAAAATAAAAAATATATTTTTTTTATAATTGTTTTTTTAATAATTTGAGACATATTTTAATAATTGCTAATAATATATATATATATATATATACATACATATATATATTGAGTATAATAATATATTATATATTGAAATTAGAAACCTATACTGGAGCAGTATAGTTAATGTAATTCAAAGTTTTACATTTTATAATTAAAAAATGAATCGTAAATACGATAGTTTTTCTTCCAATTCTTATTTTGAGATGAAAAATTTACGTAAGCTTTTATTTTGTGATTTTTGAAATCTACATAAGTTAAGAACACATTTTTTATTATATGAAACTCACCATGATGTCATGCCATTTCCCGCCATTGCTTTTTTCAACTTCAACTTATTTTTTTTTTGAATCTTGTTTCAATTTTCTAAAGAAATAAAATAAAATAATTTTAAATTGTTTTATATATAACGTTAATAATTTATTTTGTTATTTTATTTTTAAAAATAAAATGATTTTGGTAAAAAAATTAGCAGAAATGTATTTTTGTTAAATTCTTTGTTAATTTCACTTTAATTTTGATTTTAAACTACTTACATATCATAATATTTAATAAATTTTCTTATTGTATACGTAATTTATTAATTTTTTGTTAAGAAATATAATCACTCTCATGAAAAAATATTTTAACGAGTTTAAATTATTCACACAGTATCGAAAGATTGCTTAAGACTAATGTTCGCGATGATCACTATGTGGCGCTGACAATCATTCAAGATGGTGGAAACTCGGCGATGGAAGTGACCGATCGACGCGCCCTCAGTGTCTCGCGGTTCATCGATCAGTGTGGTGTGTGTCGCGTTGTTGCTCCGGTGGATTTTTTGTGGTTTGTTCCTGCCTAGGACATACGCGTATTTTTTTCGTTGGTTTTCTTGAGTCGACGCCGTGATTATCCAAACGGCTCGTGAACGGGCCCACCGGCAAATACAAAGGAAAGATGCAACCGAGGATATACTGGATTCTGATCAGTACGGCCGTCATTCTCGCGGGATGCAACGCCGCTACCGAGGTGAGTACGATTACTTTCATAGCCTTCTTTCTCCCTTCTGTCACTTCTTCGACAATCGTTCGATCGTATTTTGCGTCATGTCGTATTGTCGTCTAGCAAGTTCTGTTTTGAAATGATATTTTGTCTGCGAATTCATCGAACGCGCGTTCCAGCGAGTATTCGAACACGCTTTACCGATTCTCCTGTCTGTCCGTCAAGCGTTCTTCGAAATGCTTTCGCTTATAGAATTTCTTTACAGAAATATCGTGTACGTCATTTATTGATGCTTCGCGTTCTCACACGTATTCTTTGCTTTGTACATGTCCAAATTCTAAACAGCAGCACCACAATGTGATTTGATCGTGATTGTTTACGCTTTATTGCCAATTGCACGAATTTGTTTACTCGTTTTATCGTAGCGTGTTCCTGATGAGACAGGATATTTATTTTGATCTCAAGATGGTTTTCAATTATATTATATTCTTCGAATTATTTTCTACTCAATTGTTTGTTTTGCTATTAAAAAATTTCTTAATTTTAAAGAAAATATAAGACAATTGTTGTTAATAAATTTTGATTTTAAATTCTTCTTAAGACATTAAAAATTATGCGATTGTTGAAACGAGAATGAGATATGAAGATTCGATGTTAATGATCCTTTTTGAATTAATTCTTGCAAGATGTACTTTATGAGGCATTTTTACCTTATAATTATATAATATAGTAAATCACGGGAAATTACACGCCTTTGCTCAGTGTATGCCGCGAATCTATTATTTCGAAACTCTTACGGGAGTGAAGTGTCTCGCTTTGATAGCCGATGTTACGACAGGATAGGAATTCTTATATACGCTGGTCGTACACCTGGTCGAACATTATCTGATGCTTTTTTTCTCGCGCCATGCTGTGTCGCACCATCACTGGACCGTTGTTTATATTCTCTTTCTCGGTCGGTCGAGATATCGGAGCACGAGGCACAAAAACATGAGACGAAAAATATTCTGATCTGATGTTGACGAGTAATTCGAGACCATCAGATCTGCACGCCAATTTTTTTTATTCGTTTCTCGCAAAGTTACTCAGCTATTATTTGCGTGACTATAGAGACGGTGATGGAGAATGAAAATAAAATTGCTCCGATGAAGTATACTATTTATCGACGGCTGAAAAGTGTCGAAAAATTGTACGAGTGGTCTACATATGTTCGATTAAAATTTATTATTGACCAAGTATCGGACTTCTTTTTTTTTTTTTTTATGAATAGTAATGGCAAACGGTTCGAGAAACGTGGCGTCAATGGAAAAATTAATGACGGAATGTGCGTTGATTTATAACAGAACGGAAATACGATTCGCGGAAATTAATTGAATTCATTTTAGTTAATTATTGCATATAAACAACTCTCTGTTGGCACTCATTCGTCGTCAAAACGAAAGTTTCAACCTTTTTGCTTTTGTGATTCGTTCGAACGAACTACGTACACACGTGTACGTGCATGTATAATTCGCAGAAATTAATAGTGCCCTTTATTTACACATCGTTACGTGTATTATTACTTAAAGGCATTACATTGAAGGCAAACACAAAACGTCTGAAATCTCATGGGTCTACCCTCGGTATATTCGGTTCACTTGCTTTATTTGTCGTTCTCTGGAGAGAAGTTTTCTTTTTATTTTTTTTTAACATATCGTAATTCATTTAATACAAAGGAAAAGGTTTAAATATTATATTATGGATGTATATTATATTTTATTATAATTATTAAATTCATTATTTTTATTATAATATGTAGATTAATTTAATATGTTAGATTAATTTAAATAGACGTGAATTATTTTAAATATAGGTTATATGAATCACTTTAAATATAGGAAATTTATTTTATCCTAAAAGTTTCAAGAATAAAAAAAAAAATTATATTTATTTTATTTTCATTAGTTCAAGGATTGATTTATAACATTCATATATATTATGTATTATGATAACTTTTTCATAAAAATAGCCCGTAATATATATCGATGTATAGATCATTGGACTCAAAAGTCATGAACTTTTTCATTTTTTAATATTATATATAAAATTATACGTCATTTTTAACGATATTCTTTTTAATGTAAAATATACAAAAATTTCAATTTTCAATATTAATTCTCTTCAATCAAATTTTTCTTTGGTCTGGACGGAGAAAAAAAAAAATAAACTACATTGATAAATAAAATACATTTATAAAATAATTAAAAAATACAAAACGAATAAAAGTTAAAATATGAATATTCCGGCTATGAAATTTTAATTCATATAAAAGATTAAATAAATGTAAGTTAAATAAAATTGAACTTATTATTTCATAATATAATAACAACAATATATTCATGTATCAATATTTCAGTGATTAAAATTGAAATATTATTTAAACTTCTATAAAAATTATATCTTAATTGGAAACTATTATTCTATAACTATTTTCATATTTTATCATTATTAATATCACGCTATTTTTATATTAACACTTAAATTATCAAACATGTTAAAATTTCATCTTTTATAATTATTAAAAAGATATTGATTTTCGTTATTATTTAGACATGTGTTAATTTTAGTGTTATTAAAATCAAATTTTAAAGACAACAAACAAAATTTCGGTTGTTTTTCCACAAAATTACGCGATAAGATAAATAAATTCGAATGTATCGTTAAACCCGATACATTTTATTCGATCCGAAAGTTCGTTTCGCGCGAAAGAAAGAGAAAATCGAGCGGAAGGGAGGTTGGAAACGGATGCGGAAGAACGATGCCCCTGTGCAGTTCCGTTCGTTGGCCATTTCGCAAGGCCGTAACCTGTAGCACTTGTACGCTCGGTGTTCGACAAGATCCACTCGAACTTGGTCCACAACGTAATCCCATCGATGGTTCCGTGTTGGTACATAGACGAATCAGATTTTCACGAGCAACCCGTTATTTCATGGTAAACTTTACACTGACTGGCTCGTCCCTCTTTCTATAAGCGATTGCAACTTTTGCAATAGCCACGCGTTAGCCGATTGTACTCTTATGTATTAAAGAATTGATGTTCTTTAGAATAAAATAAATTTA